ATGTTTCTTGCCCACGTCCATGTTTTACAAGTATTACGACAATGAATCCATCCAATGAGCAAGAAGGACTTCCTTGTTTTCTCTTGACATCAGAAAAAGGATCCTGGATGAGCATGACTACGTATCTATTATTCCTCACTCTTGCCACACGCCCAGTTCAGGTTCTGTTTCAGCAATACATTTCTCTGGTGATAACACTTTTTAATCCATTTCTCCATTATAATTCCTAGTTTGTAATGTGTTGCAGATGCCTCACACCCATCCTGAGGTTTCCATGATCCTCTGAGTGATAGATATTTTCAATACTTCTTCAAAGACTGTAGGGTCCCTAAGTCTCAAAGCACAGAACATCATTTGGAGAATACCTGTATTAAAATGATGGGCTTTATATATCAATCCAAAATCTTCCTCTTCTGAATCTTGCTCCCCATGATCTCCAATTCCGCTCTCAGGAGCTAAGGAGAACTTAACTCCTTTCAACTTTTATCCCCAACATTTCTCTTCCACAAATGAAACATCTACAGTTCCTTCATTTGGTTTGGTTTCCAGTAGCTTCATAATGCTGATCATACTTTTACCCCCCATTGTGTACTTGTGGAGCTGATTTTTTGAACCAACTCATGTAGGGCTTTACTTTTATTGGTTAACATTCTGACGTCTAAAACTTCACCTAAACTAGTTAAATATGCTTCCTCAAAAGGTCCTTTGTAAGTTAAAAAACAAAACAAAACAAAACATTTTTGTTGTTGTTTGTAAAGGAAAAGTGAAAAATGATAACAAGAGAAGAAAAAAGGGGGAGCAGCTAGGTGGTGCAGTAGATAGAATACAAGCCCTGGAGTCAAGGGGACCTGAGTTCAAATCCAGCCTCAGATGCTTACTAGCTGCGTGTGTAAATGACTTGGACAAGTCATTTAGCACCAATTGTCTCCCTCCCCCCAGAAAAAGAGGAGAAAAAAATTGGTATGTATGCAGTAAATACATCAGTTAAGAAAACATGGTAGTAGTACAATAGTGTGCAAATCAATTTACAAATTTACCAACTTAAAATACTTTTCATAAGCAATATGTTTTCTTTTTCCTGTAATTTCTTGTTTTACATGATTTTGTACTGAGTTTAAAACTTATATATGTATATATCCTTTGTCATTATGAAAGTACATTTTTATCATATTGGATATGAAGAATATATCTGAAAAACAAACCATCCGTTTTTTTCCAAATGCAGCTTTAATTATATCAAAGACATTTAAATCAAGCAATTTCCCAGACCATTTAAGTATGGTTATCTCTACTTTGGAAAGAAACTTTTTAAGAAATAAAATAAAGGCAATCCAATAAACTTTTATTAAGCACCTACAATGTTTCAGAGGATACAATTAACGACAGTCCTTGTCCTCAAGGAGCTTAAAATCTCATGGGAGGGAGGCACCAAGGGGTACCAGTATGGGAGGTATTTGGTTCCATGGAGCTGAAAACCACTCCAAGCAGCAGATGTAGAATAGAATGAGCCCAGAAGTCCAATTTCTGCCCTATATAAAGGAAGGCATTGGAAGAAATTTGTCACTGTACCCTCCATTCCTCCAATTAGAGGGGAGAAGAGGTTGAGGGAGGCAGTAGTGTCAGTCAAGGCTTGAGTTAGCAGCATGGCTAATCTGTCATGATACATGACACACTTATTGCACTACTACTCCATGTGGGAATCTTTGGAATTCTAGAACAATTATGCTTTTCCATACATATTTCAGTATATTTATCTGATTTTGTCATTTCCTCCATGGGAGGAGGACTTGTAGGCCCAGCGGATTTTTTTTTTAATCCACAAACATTTTGACGGGAGGATACTTTTACAATCTGATAAAGATGCTCAAATATTATGGGCTCACCTTGTTCTCTTCTGATAATGATTTTGACATAAAGCCTTGAATAAAACGTGTGGTTCATCAATAAAAATCCCCTTTTTTCTTTTTAACAGTCTTTAGTACTCCGGTCTTTGTACTGCTTTGCCCACAACAAGCACTTTTTCTTCATAGCAATGTAACCACTGCTGATTGTGTTTGTTTTTAATGGTCTACTCATTGTTCTTGCCTCTTAAGTTGTACTACAGAGGAATCAATAGCAATCCCTCCTCCTACCAGATCTCTCTAAAGGTCTTTGCTTAGTTTCTGCGGATTAATCAGACTATTCCACAGCAATCATTTGTCAGTTCATGGCATTACTTTTTTTTTTTTTACCGTAATTTCCTTTACACTTTGGTGTGGCATCTTACTTCATTGTGTGTTTGGGTGACCTTTGAAACACTTGACTTCTCCCCACCAGCAGTCAGTACCATATCTCTAAAAGTCATTATTGTGCATCTTTAAAGAGCTAAAACTTTTGCATATTTCCTTGGAGTTATATCCAGTCTTAAAAACCATAAAATTTGAGAGAGAGAGAGAGAGAGAGAGAGAGAGAGGAGAGAGAGAGAGAGAGAGAGAGAGATTGAGAAAACACAATGGAATATGAGCCTATGGCATGAACTTTGGAACAGTAAAGGCAGGGAAGCTAGCTCAATGTGACTTTGTATAACAATTATAATAATAATTAATACTACTAATAATAGCTAGCATTTACATGACACTTATTATGTTTCAGACACTATGCCAGCACTTTATGATTATTATTTAATTTGATTCTCACAACAATCCTCAGAGGTAGTTGCTGTTATTATCTCCATTTCACAGATCAGGAAACTGAGGCAAATAGAGGTTAAGTGACTTGCCCAGGGTCACACAACTAGAAAAATGCATGGCTGGATTTGAACTCAAGTCATCTTGGTTTTAGACATGGTGCTCTATCCACTGCACAATTCAGCTGGCCCTAATATGGCCAAGATAAAATATTCTGAGTCATCCTAGTAGTATCAGTAGAAGTATTCTAGCATGAACATTGTAATTACAAAATTAAATGAAGTCAAAATGATTGCTTCTTCCGTGTAATTCACATACCACTGAAATAATAACTGTAAAAGTAATAACAACTGATATTTATATAGCGTTTTGCAAATATTCCCTCATTTGTAATAGAAAGCTGATTTTAGGGTTAGGAAAACTTGGATGCAAATCCTGACTATATTATATATTGGTTATTTAAACGCTGAAAAGTAACTTGACCAGTACCCCAGATAATTCTTTAATAAGTTACGGAAGGATTGACGACTTGCCTCAATAGATGGGAATTTCCATACTAAGAGTTCTGTACACTAACAAAACTACAAATATGGACTAAAACTTGTATACGTACAAACATACAAATCAGATCTAAGTATGACATCCAAAATCTATAAGGAATCATTTAACTGAATAACATATTATGAAGACTGGTTAAAATAAATGAATAGACAACTTTTTAAGGGTTAAATACATTACACTAAAAGGATGCTCAATACTCTCAAAATTATAGGTATAAAAAACAACCTTAAGATGTCATTTTAGACCCACTAGAATTATAAACATAGCAAAAAATAATAAAATTCATTGTTGGCAGGGCTATGGAAAAACAATCATTAACACACTGGGACTGGGAAATTGTGCAAACCTTTTGGAGAGCAATATGATATACATGAATGAGTCATACAATCAAGCATGCCTTTTCATCACATTATTCTATTGCCGGACCCTATCCCCAATACATGTTAAAAAGAAAAAAAAGAACTATCTGAATAAGAATATACATATGTATTATGTATGTGCATGTATGTAATATACATATTTATATATGTATATTTATATGTATGTCTGCTCTATTTACAACAGCAAAGGAAGTAGAATCAAATAATTAGTTTTTAAGTGAATAAATTGTGGTACTCTAAAGCAATAGAATATGATAGTGCCATACAATAAGTAGGAAGCCTTTAATGAATATGAAAAGATGTTGAAGAAGTAATGCAGAGCAAAAATGAGAAGAATCAGCTCTACAAACATATTGACTAAAACTATTTCAAAAGGAGGAAAAAAAAAGAAAAGGAAACATAAGGCCAAATGTACAGAATGGACTGGCTTGGAAGAAGATACAGGAAAAAAAATCATTTCATGTTTGTTATTTCATTTGGTTCTTAAAGAGCTTGGTGTATCATGCAATAAAAACATGATTAAAATAATATCCAAGAAACAAACAAGGAAGGAGAAAGACACTTAGATGAAATTAGCTGAAAACAAGTTTTTCTTTTCTCCAGGACAGAAACAAAAAGAGCTCTTTAGGTTTGGGGGTCAATGAAAGAACTGCAGACTCTTAGAAACATCAGGGCCCTCAGAGGCCATTTAATTTAACTCCTACCTGAATTAGGTATGCCCTCTCCAACATCCCCAAGTCGTACTCTGACCTCCAGTAAAGCTCACTACCTCCCAATTGTAATAATTATTAGGTGACTCTCTTTATGTCATTGAAGTAAAAGAAAACTGATCCAGTGAGCAAGTGCCTCAAAAATGTAAAGTTTCAATTAATTCTACAGAAGCTTCACTACGATCTCATGATAAAATCATTCTGATCTGGCACTGAGATGATGCCAACCTCAGAGACTGAAATGTGTATACCTATTTTTACAGAGGCATCATTCTGGAGCTAGATTTAGAAATGAGCCCAGTAGTTGTCAAATTGAGTTATGAATCAGTATCATGAAATTTATTTTTTTAATAGATGAACCTATGTCTGGCTGAGGTTTTTTAAACTGTGCTTGAATTTTTTTTTTCTGTGTGATGTCCTTGGCATCATAAGGAGTAATGAATTAAAAAGTTTGAACTTAAGAGCTCCAGTGTCTTCAGATAAAAATTCCAAAGAGATGACTGTGGAATTAAATGAGCAAACAGGAATCTCATACTCATGTGTGGGTGTGTGTGTGTGTGTGTGTGTGTGTGTGTGTGTGTGTGTGTGTGTGTGTATTAAAGGCAGGAGAGCTTTCTGTCCCCAAAGAAAGCCTAGCCATCTACTTGAAATAATTTCAGAAGATATGTTTCAAAAGAACCAACCAGGGTACAGAAGATGCATTGGCACTGGGCTATTGTTGTCATCTGCTCCAAAGGATATTCCCCAAGACAGAGTTTACAAGACACCAAGGGATCCAGGGCCAAGTCCCACGTAGGCCTGTATCTTGCCATAGTCATCGCTGAGCCACCTAAAACGAGTGAAATGAAAGGTCAGCACCGCACACGGCCTTCAGACCAAAGCTCAACCACCACCACTAAGCAAATATTTATCAGCGACGGCAGTTTTCTATCTAACGTAAGTGACCGTGGCCTCTACACAAGTCCTCCTCCAACGTCTCAGTGGGTCATAGAGGCAAGGGAGATGGCTTCAGTTCATATGAGTCCTTTCCCAGGCCTATAAAGTCTTTTGGAGAAAGTTCTTTACATCTATGGAGGGGATTCTTAATAAAAATATGAAAAAAGGAATAGACAGACCTTTACAATTTCCTCCAGCAGGCACATTAACACAAATGAAAGGTCTATAGAATATAAGAATCCTATAGAGTTTCGTTAATTTTTTTTGAAGCCTTGGACTCTGGAAAGCAGAATGCAGGCTTAAAGGTTCTCAACAAGGTCTCCCACGCAAAGGTTGAGAGCATACTTGATTCCTTGAAAGATACTACTTCATTTGGTGATACTCTGATTAGGGTAAGGGATAAGGATTAGATCTGTAATTTCTTTGGTAATAGGGAACTCTCAGATGAGGAAACTCCCTCTAACAATGTAGGTCATCAACTTCTTTGCAACCTATATTCTTAGAGATTTGTCTACAGCACTAAAAGGCTAAGTGACTCAGGGTCACACAGCCAGCATCTGTCAAAGTCCAAGTATTCCAGCTGTCTATCCACTAGAATGTGCTGCCTGTAATAAGCACTGTCAATTGAGGAATGGAACGGGACACGCATACTCCACATCAGTGTTTGGCACCATCATGGAGGATGTCCCATTCAGCATACTCTGAGCAAGTCCTAGTCCTCACTGTGGCATGGAGGTGACCTTGGATTCTTGACATCTATGGAAGAAGAATTCAAACTCTGGCAGATTCTACTAAACTCAAAGGGTTTTCAGAACAATTCCAAGGATAGATAATACCTACTATCTGAGGACCAATCTAGCTAAGCATGGAAAAGGCTCATCACCAGTTGGCTGGCCACTAGATGATGAATTCTCTAGCCATGGAAATGCAAGAAATCAATGAAGAAAACACAAAATGGCCTTCAGTACCATGCAGCAGCCATCTGCTTTCAGCAGAGGCAATAGGAGAGTATTAGGGAAGGAGGCTAAGAATGGAAGAGGGTCATCACCAGTTGGCTGGCCATTAGGTGATGAATTGACTACACAATATAAGAAACAGAAGAAGAAACACAAAATGACTTTCAGTCATTCAGGCAGCAGTCACCTGCTTCTGTAAGGGCAGCAGCAAGGTGGCAGGAAAGGAGGCAGAAAGTTCAAAGAATCACACAAGTATTTCCACAGTACACTTAAATTGTTAATAATAGCAATTATCATCATCAACAACAATACCATCAACATCATCATCATCCCCATAATCCTGGCTGCTACTAGAGCTATCCCAAGACACTTTTAACAAGCCTACAGAAGATGAACTTATATCTCAATACTTTTTTTTAAATTCAATTATAAAAAAGCAGTTATTTTATATGCCTTTGCAATAGTTTGCAGAACATTAAATATAAAAGAATAATAGCATGATAGTAACTTGTCCCAGGACTGTTTCTATCTGACCTCCACAGAAAAAGATGAGAAAAAGACTGATAATAAGAGAAGAATAAGATGACAATAATAACAATAATAGCTTATTTCCATGTACATAGTGCTTTAAAGCCTTAGAGTGCTTCACACACATTATCTCATTTGAACCTCACAACAACCCTGGGAGGCAAGTACTACAGGTATTATTATACCCATATTATAGATGAGGATACTGAGATTCAAGAGAGGTTAAGTGACTTACCCATGGTCACACAGCTAGGAAGTGTCAGAGGCAAGGTTCGAACCCAGGCCTTCCTGACTCCAAGTCCAGCACTGTCCACCAAGCCAATTCTATTTAGGTACAATGTTTCAGAGTTGTATCTATTGCATAAAGTGAGATTCACTTGTACAGTTAATCAAAGTGCCATAAGTGAAAGCTTATATTAAGGGCAATTATAATTCAATGTGAGTAACAACAACTTAAATATGTTAGACACATCAAAAGTTATATTTATAATCAAATTATCCTCTGAACTGCAATATTGGTTGATGCTCAAATAAATATTTAATGTATTCCTTGTGCCTAGGACTGAACTTGAAACTTAAGAGTAAAAAAAAAAAGTCATTCATTCCTTCATTCCATGAATCTTTGAGTATATGTTAAAATGCAAAACACTGTTATTAGGATCTTAGGACCACGGATATAGAGCTAGAAGGGAACTGAGAAGCCATGTAGGCCTGTCTATAGTTAAACCCCCTTATTTTACTGCTAAGGCAAACTGAGGCCCAGAGTGGTGATTAACATAGCAGAGCTAGGTTTCATTCAATTCAATGTTCTTTCTATTATACCACATTTTTATTCTCTCTTCATAGATAAAGTGCTAGGTCACAAAAAGGATCAAGACATGGGACCTGCCTTCTTTACACAGGGCTTCTAATCTCATTGGGAAGACATAACTGGCCCATTAAGAGCTAAATCATGTAGTATGAGCTTAAGTGGCAAGGCAGCTCTGAAAAGGGAATGCACGGTGGGCTGAGAGAAGGAAGGATATAAGCTGAGCCTTGAAAGAAGGATAATGGAAGATAACAGAATTAGGTAATGGAAAGGGGAAAAAAGAAGATGGTCCAGACTGATGGAAACCATGAGCAAGGAGTACAGAGTTTTCTGGGAGAAATAAGGAATATTCTAACCAACTGGAAGATCCAGATAGTGGGAATTATGGTTGCCTCAGCTGAAGTACTGTTAGATCCATTTCTAAAGAACAGCCTTGTTCTCAAGCATGTTCTGCACTACTACCTGCCCACCTCTACCCATTGATCAATTCAATGAAGTTTCAAAAAGACATCAGATTTCCAGGGGAGTGACTCGAAATTATGAAGTATGTGGTTCATAGGACTTACAGGATCATAGGCTTAGAGCTTGAAGGGACCTTAGAAGTCATAATTTTGTGGAGTAAACTGAAGTACCCAAAGTCACACAGCCTATAAGGTCATAGCACTTTACCATCTCAATATTTTAGTACAAGAATACTTCTATAGGAAGTAAACATAAGCATTTGGGGTGGGGAGAGAAGGACTCCCTACATAAAGGTTTTAAAAGGGTACTCAAGAAATGATCAAAAAAAAGGAACTGAACATATGTGGTCAGGGTACAGTACTTTCTAGGCCTAAATATTATGTGTGGAAGCCCTAGTGTCCCAATCCCAGGAATTAGATCTCAATTCTCAACTCAAACAGGTGGAAAAATAATAGTTTTTGCAAAGAATGTCACACCAAACCTGTAAAGTAGGTAATTTTTAGTGTTATTGCACTGATGAGGAAACTGAGATTTAGAAATGGCAACAGCAGGGACTGGAACTCCTATTTCAGCAGACTCCAAGCTTGGAATTCTATTTAACTCCTCAGCCACACTGTTTCTGTTAACAGTTCCTTTCAACTTCTTTCCACCCCTCCCCCACCACTATCCATTCCTCAACTGAGCAGTCACTGGTTCTTCTCCTTATACTTGTTGTAGTAAGAGTTCCCTGTCCCCTCCCTGCTCCTCCTATTCCTTTCCTGAGTCCGCTACCACCACTCTTCCTCTCTCCCTTTGATTTTCTTTTAGAGGTCAAAATATTTCTGTTGACCCAAATCACTGAACTTTATCTTCATGGTAACTAAATTTTATTTCCTAAAGAAGGTCTTTTGAACAAAATATATAGTAAAAATTGATGGCTCATAACGGCATAGTAGTGACCCACAACTTCTGGCAGGGTTTAAAAAGCTGGAAAAGGTTTTGAGTTGGCTTTCCTGGTACCAGTCTAGCTAAGGAGGGAAATCCTGATGAATTCTTTGGCCATGGAAACCCATAAAACAAAACAAAGCATAACGCAAAATGGTCCTAAGTCCTGTGGTACTCCTTTCTATTTCTGTAATGACAGTGGCAAAGTAAAAGAAAGGGGAGCAAAGGGTGCTAAGAATTATGCAGTTGTTAGACCATCTATAAACTTTCCTTATCTATAAACTCCAGGTACCATGTGAGATCTTTGTCCAGTGCCAACAAGCAAGAATTCTACTTGGAAGAAATGAGCCATGTCAGTGTTGACATTTTGTCATACATTAAACCAGAAGATAGAAGGGATTTGCAGCTATATGGAAAGATGAGTTACCATTCTCTTGGAGAAGCAGACAAATGAATTGGCAAAGCTGTTTTCACAATATGTCCAAAGGCTGCAAGAAACATAATTTCATGGGGAAATTTGATTCTCCAGTATTGTAGTCTCCATGATTAAGTCTCTGTAAAAAGACCACCCACCATGAAAATAATCAGAGCTTACACACTACCATCTGTTGCTGGTGAAGAATTTGTCTTTCTCTATGTTCCAAAGAACACTAGAGTTTAAAATCAGAGGAGCACGTTACAAATACTGGCTCTTGTACTTACTAGCAGTGTGGCTTTGAGCAAGTCCACATAATACCTCTGGGCCCTACTTTCCTCATCTGTAAAATGTAAGGATTGGATGAGATGACCGCAGCGGTCTCTCCCTTCCAGCTCTTAGTTTATGAATCTATGAAATTGTACAAAGCATGTCGTTAAAAAACTCTTCAGATGAAATCAATATCTCTATACTAACTGCTAAGTTCAAAGCAAAGGTGGAAAGAGGTAAAGAAACAAAAAAAATGCTTTGGAAAATGTGGATCAGGAAGAAGGAATGAAAGAAGCCAAAGATTTGTCGCTTACACAGAAGCCATGAACTAACACATCATAAATACTTTCTTCAAGAAAAGAATCAGAAGGCACTAGGCCTGGGAGGACAGAATAACTGCATAACTTAAATGGCATTAAACATATTTCAACCAGAAGAAAAAGATTCATTATTAATGTGAAAGTGTTTTCTGAATCAGTTGTCTGTAAATTTAGGCCTAATGTCCGTAAGAGGGGTGATGAGAGTCCCGCTGTACCCTAACATAGTCAGACCATATCTGTAGTCACTTCTAGGCACCGTACTTCAAAAATAACATTGACATGCTAAACCAAAGAGAATTAAGAAGAGAGTGAACAGAGTGAGGAGGATACTGGAGAACATAGGATACAAGGATCAGTAGAAAGAATTAACATATTTGGCCTGGAGAAAGGATAGCTTATTTAATAAATGAGTCAAATAGTCTAGCTATTTGAATGTTGGTTTTTAAGTTAAACAGTCCAATCATTTGAAAGCTAGTCATATACAAGTGGGACTAGATTTCTTCTACTTGACCCCAGGTGGAGAAACTGGAAGAAATAGATAAAAGTGAAAGAGAAGCAGATTTCAGTTGCCTAAAAGGGGAAAGGGGAAAAATGGAATAGGCTGTCTCAGGAAATGATGATTTGCCACCCCTAAAGATCTGTAAATGGAAGATGGAGCAACTTTTATTTGTTTATTTTTATTTTTTGGTAACTACTACAGATGATTCCAGTTCCAGCATGAGGTGGATTAGATGACATTCAAAATCCCTTCCAATTCTCAGATTCTTCAACTACTCAAAAAACTAACAGAATTTGAAAAGAAGAATCCCTAAAGATTATCTCTCCTAACATTGTCTTCAATAGGGATGGGCCAGTCTCTTCACAGTTGACTGAATTATTCCCACTTCTTGTTGTCACCTTCATGAATTCCCACTAAAATGTCCACCTCTAATTGTTTTTGTTCTTCTCTAAATACCTAATTTTTATCCATTTTTTAGAAATCCCACTCCACAAAGGCTTCTCTATATTCCTCAGCCCCTTCACACACACACACACACACACACACACACACACACACACACACACACACACACATTCTACTCCCCAGATTTCAAATGGTACTAATGCCAAACTTGGAGAAAAATCTCCTAAATATTACTGGAGAAGGAAATGAAAACGGAAATGGAAAACACTCCCAGAAAACTCCAAATGATGTCACAAAACATGACTGAAATGACTAAACAATAACAAAAACCCTGAATGTTAATGAGACTGCATGTGGAAGATGTCTGGGATGACACCGCAAGAGTTGCCCAGGAGGAACAAACATGGTCATGTTGCTATCTCTACCAGCAGAGGGCTTGCTGACATCATTAAGGTCAGAGATTCATTGAAGTACTAAAGTAACTGTTTAAACATTGATTCTTTCTCCTAAGTTCACTGAGGGCAGAGACTACAACTCAATCTACATTTGCACAGCATCTAACACATGGCAAGATGCATGATGATCGAATGATCGAGCATGGCACAGTTCCAGGACTGAGAAAACCCAAAAAGACATAGTCCTACCTCTAGCATCAAACCTCACTAAACTCATACATTATACAACTAAAACACCCTAAGGCTGACAGAAGTTTCAGATTGTGCCATTTCTAGAATATTCAACAATCTGAATAATGATGATGATTCTGGCTCTGTCATATCCCTGCAGTGTAATCTTGAGCAAGCCCCTTCCTTTTCTCAGGCTTCTTTTCTTCTTTCATTAAAAAAAATGGTTAAGAGTAAATACACAGCTCCAGTGTCACTTCCTATGAGACTTTTCATGATGTCCCATCCCCCCTTCTCTCCCAAATTGTATTCTATTTACTTTGCATATATTATGCATATACTTGTATCTGTACATGTTGTCTCCTTCAACAGAATGTAACCTCTTTGATGACAGCGACTATTTTATTTTTGTCTTTTTATCTCTAACACTTAGCACTGTGCCTGTCATATAGCAGGCATTTAATAAATGTTTGTTGATTGGCTGATGAATAATACATGATCATTATATCTCCTTTTTCCTCTAATACTCCATGCTTTTGTCATGGTGAGTCTTTCTAGGGGGCCACTCCCAGTCGTCCTGACGTTGCTACTGGACTCAGATGACCCTGGAGGAGAAAGTGAAGGCTGG